AAAAATAGAAGTTACCGTTCAGGAATAAGAAAGAAAGAAAAAAAAAAAAGTAGCCGTTCGGAGGGAGTTATTATTATTATTATTATTATATTATATTATAATCATTAGTTTTTTTAGAATTCTAATCTCCACCACTCATCTTCAATCATTATCATCCAAGGGCTCAATTTGATTTTAATTTCAAATCAATTTTCCACCACTTTCCTCCTGTTTAAACTCCTCTCCTATCCCATTTTAAAAACATCAATTTTCTTATTTTCAAATCCTCTATAATTCATTTTTGCTCTCTTTAACTTCTCAATTCTACTTCCATTTTTATTCTTGTGAGAGATTTTCTTGTTGTGAGGATTGATATATTTGTGAGCTCAAACTTGTAAATCTACTATATTGGAGAGGTTTAGTGTGTTAAATTTCTTATTTCCACACTTAGTTGGGTTTCGTTCTTGATCTCGGTAAAAGGAACGAAGTGTGGGTTGTGATATTTGTCCCGGGAAAAAGGTTGGATTTAGTTCTAGATCCCGTAAAAAGAGTGATTTGTAAGGTTTGGTCTTGATCCTGTAGAAGGACCGGGTTTCCGATCTTGAACCCGTAAAAAGAGTGATTTGTAAGGTTTGGTCTTGATCCTGTAAAAGGACCGGGTTTCCGATCTTGAACCCGTAAAAGGATCGTGCTTAGTGGAAAATCTCGAGAGGTGCTCAAGGAGTGGAGTAGGTCGGAGTTTGCGAACTACTATAAATCTCTTGCGTGACGTTTTCTCTATCCTTTACTTTTTATTTATTGCAATTTATCTTTCAAGTATATTTTCTTTTATTGCAAATATATACTGTGTTTATCTCTTGAATATTTGTTTCATGATATTTTGAATTAGTATAAATTGTGCATAAATTGTATTTGCTTAAAAAGTTTACTTTGTTATTTGATTTATGCTTAAGATCGAAAAAGTTTAGTAAATTGATCTTCAATACTATTCACCCCCCTAGTGTTGCCATATCGATCCAACATTATTAGTGAATTACCCACATCTTAGTGGAAGACTGGACGTAGCCCTTGGTGAACCGATATAATTTGTTGTGTCATTTATCTTGTTCTTTACAGTTTTTCTTCCTATTTGCATGTTGTGGTTGTGTTTGGATATTTTATATGGAAAGGGAAATTATGCAGGATCGTTAATTTCCCACAAAGTGATATCAGCGCTGTAGGGTTGCAGTATCATGGGAGTCAAATATCACGCACACCATTACTATGATGGAATTCTGAAGTTCACGGGGGATAATTTCAGTTTTTTGAAGATGCAGGTAAAGGATATTCTTACGTGCAAGAAGATTCACAAGACTTTGGGGGAGAGACTAGCGGAGATGATTGACAAGGATTGGAATGAGATGGATTAGCAAGCCGTTGCGAATATCAGAATGTCGTTGTTGATAAATGTTTGTAGTTCGGTGGTGAAAGAGACTACAACAAAAGAACTATTGAAGGCCTTGCAAGATAGGTATGAAAAACCTTCTACCAATACAAAAATACTTCTGTGGACGAAGTATTTTAATATCCACATGGAAGAGGGAACCTCAGTGAATTCTCATATTAATAAGCTTAGTGATATCTTGAACAAATTAGAAGGGATGAGTGTCAAGATTGATGAGGAGGTGAAGGTTATGAGGCTGTTGACATCTTTGCCTAACAGTTGGTATACAATGAAGATTGCGGTGTCGAATTCGTTAGGAAATAATAGCTTATAATAACTTCAAATTTTAAGCTATTTGTGATGCCGCCTTATTTAAGGAAGCCCGGAGAAAATTAGGGAAAATGTATCCATCTACTTCAGGGGTATAAAACGAGGTTGAATCAGCTTTGGTAGCTCAGAACAATATTTCTAGCTTAAGATTTAACTTGTTATTCACAGGGAAGTTAGACTACGATGGCTACAACAGTGACTTTGTTAGGGGTTGTTGGAAGCTCAATAGGTAATCTAGGGTTGTAGCAACAAGCCACAAGAGATCTTCTGTTTATATGTCAGAATTTAATGTTGCCAGGGGATGTGAGAGATAGAAGATGTATAGAGTAGCTGCAGATAGTTCAAGGCGAGACTTGAAAGAATCAACAGCCTTGACAACCAGGACAGATTAGAAGAATCTGTCACCCGTTCAAGTACAACAGCTGGGAAGTAGAGGAAAGGATAAAGAGAACAACTCAGTGAGTTATTCAACAGGTTGTCGATTTCAAGCCCCAGTTGTCAGACAGATGAGCGAGCTAATGAAGTCATATAGGCGAGATAGTGCATTGAGGGAGAAGACTACAATTGGTGCTGAAGTCAAGGGTAATAATAAATGTCTCTAGAAAGACAATAGACTTAGGTGGGAGTGCCAAGTCATCAGGAGAATCTTCCTTCAGAGGTGGTTGGGTTCGATCGAGAAAGGAAGCAACAAGGACCACTTAGATCGAGTGGGAGCATGTGGCTGTGTCTTTAACGTCTGGTAGACAAGATCACGTAAGATTGCTCAGTCTCGGGGCAATCATAGACAGAGCTTAGGTACGGCCGAGCAATGTGGATCAATTCATTGATAGAGTAGTTAGAACTATGTCTTGACAAAGGGTGTCAGAAAGATGATGAGACACTGTTGATGCAGTGGGAGGCAGAGAATTGTCGCTTTGTCTCTAAGTGGGAAATTGTTGGGATTGGTGGAGTCAAAACGACGTCGGAATGAGCTAGGGATGAGTGGGGATCGAGCCGGGATGCATCGGGTCGAAGCGGCGATGAAAAACAGGGAAGCGAGATGTTGTAGGACACACGGGTCGAGAAGGCAGCACCGCGGTGCTATCTTAGTGGGCATGTGGGCACGTTTTTGAATCTGTAAGCCATGGCTTTGAGGACAGCGCCATGGCGTTGTTTCGAGTCTATAAATACTGCAATTCGAGTTTTAGGGGTTACCAGCCGAAAGAAGCTGGGTTATTTGCAGTGGATTTTGAGCGGATTTTGGCAAAAAATCAGAGACAGCGGCTCGGGTATTGATAGAGGCATTGGGGCTAATCAAGATCAACATATTTGGGGTAATTAGATTTTGATTCTTGTGAGTTTTTCATTCTTGTACCTAAGTATTAATTGTGTAAAATACTTAGAAGCTAAGGGACTTTTCTTGAGACCTCTAGGGGATATGGTTGGGGAGAGTTTTGTATCCAATCCTTAACAATAATTATTAGTGAACTATCTACATCTGAGTGGAAGGCTGAACGTAGCCCTAGTGGTGAACCAATATAATTTGCTTTGTTATTTATCTTGTGCTTTATAGTTATTTTTTTTCCT